TGTTAGACCACATGTGAAAATTACTTATCAATGCTGCGAACATGGTTATATGATAATCGAGATCGAAATTGTAATTCAGGACGAGTGTTAACAACTCAGCAATCAAAATCTGCAAGAGAATGATGGTAATTTCATAATGGTACTTAAAACTGTAGAATCACGTCGACGAGGATGGGATTCGAACCCACGCGTGCAGAGCACAATGGATTAGCAGTCCATCGCCTTAACCACTCGGCCACCTCGTCTACGTACTTATGCACAGCATAACGAATTTAGCTAGGCCAGGTGTTAGACCACATGTGAAAATTACTTACCAATGCTGCGAACATGGATAATCGAGATAGAAATGGTAATTCAAGACGAGTGTTAACTGCTCAACAATCAAAATCTGGCACCGAGCATGATTGCAATTTTATTATGGTACTTAAAAACTGTAGAAATTAAGTCGACGAGGATGGGATTCGAACCCACGCGTGCAGAGCACAATGGATTAGCAGTCCATCGCCTTAACCACTCGGCCACCTCGTCTACGTACTTTTGCACTGCGTAAACAATTTAGCTAGACCAGGTGTTAGACCACATGTGAAAATTACTTACTAATGCTGCGAACATGGTTATATGATAATCGAGATAGAAATGGTAATTCAAGACGAGTGTTAACTGCTCAACAATCAAAATCTGGCAATGAGCATGATTGCAATTTTATTATGGTACTTAAAACTGTAGAAATTGAGTCGACGAGGATGGGATTCGAACCCACGCGTGCAGAGCACAATGGATTAGCAGTCCATCGCCTTAACCACTCGGCCACCTCATCTACGTACTTTTGCACTGCGTAAAAAATTTAGCTAGACCAGGTGTTAGACCACATGTGAAAATTACTTACCAATGCTGCGAACATGGTTATATGATAATCTAGATAGAAATGGTAATTCAAGACGAGTGTTAACTGCTCGACAATCAAAATCTTGGCAATGAGCATGATTGCAATTTTATTATGGTACTTAAAACTGTAGAAATTGAGTCGACGAGGATGGGATTCGAACCCACGCGTGCAGAGCACAATGGATTAGCAGTCCATCGCCTTAACCACTCGGCCACCTCATCTACGTAATTGTGGACAGCGTAACTAATTTAGCTAGGCAAGGTGTTAGACCACATGTGAAAATTACTTATCAATGCTGCGAGCATGGTTATATGATAATCGAGATCGAAATTATAATTCAGGACGAGTGTTAAGTACTCAGCAATCAAAATCTGCAAGAGAATGATGGTAATTTCATAATGGTACTTAAAACTGTAGAATCAGGTCGACGAGGATGGGATTCGTACCCACGCGTGCAGAGCGCAATGGATTAGCAGTCCATCGCCTTAACCACTCGGCCACCTCGTCTACGTACATTTGCACAGCGTAACGAATTTAGCTAGACCAGGTGTTAGACCACATGTGAAAATTACTTACTAATGCTGCGAACATGGTTATATGATAATCGAGATCGAAATTGTAATTCAAGACGAGTGTTAACTACTCAACAATCAAAATCTGGCAAGGAGCATGATTGCAATTTTATTATGGTACTTAAAACTGTAGAAATTGAGTCGACGAGGATGGGATTCGAACCCACGCGTGCAGAGCACAATGGATTAGCAGTCCATCGCCTTAACCACTCGGCCACCTCGTCTACGTACATTTGCACAGCGTAACGAATTTAGCTAGATCAGGTGTTAGACCACATGTGAAAATTACTTACCAATGCTGCGAACATGGTTATATGATAATCGAGATAGAAATGGTAATTCAAGACGAGTGTTAACTACTCAACAATCAAAATCTGGCACCGAGCATGATTGCAATTTTATAATGGTACTTAAAAACTGTTGAAATTAAGTCGACGAGGATGGGATTCGAACCCACGCGTGCAGAGCACAATGGATTAGCAGTCCATCGCCTTAACCACTCGGCCACCTCGTCTACGTACATTTGCACAGCGTAACGAATTTAGCTAGACCAGGTGTTAGACCACATGTGAAAAGTACTTATCAATGCTGCGAACATGGTTATATGATAATCGAGATCGAAATTGTAATTCAGGACGAGTGTTAACAACTCAGCAATCAAAATCTGCAAGAGAATGATGGTAATTTCATAATGGTACTTAAAACTGTAGAATCACGTCGACGAGGATGGGATTCGAACCCACGCGTGCAGAGCACAATGGATTAGCAGTCCATCGCCTTAACCACTCGGCCACCTCGTTTACGTACTTACTAATTCTGCGAACATGGTTATATGTTAATCGAGATAGAAATGGTAATTCAAGACGAGTGTTAACTGCTCAACAATCAAAATCTGGCAACGAACATGAATGCAATTTTATTATGGTACTTAAAACTGTAGAAATTGAGTCGACGAGGATGGGATTCGAAGCCACGCGTGCAGAGCACAATGGATTAGCAGTCCATTGCCTTAACCACTCGGCCACCTCATCTACGTAATTGTGGACAGCGTAACGAATTTAGCTAGGCCAGGTGTTAGACCACATGTGAAAATTACTTATCAATGCTGCGAACATGGTTATATGATAATCGAGATCGAAATTGTAATTCAGGACGAGTGTTAACTACTCAACATTCAAAATATGCAAAAGCATGATGGTAATTTCATAATGGAACTTAAAAGTGTAGAATCACGTCGACGAGGATGGGATTCGAACCCATGCGTGCAGAACAGAATGGATTAGCAGTCGATCGCCTTACCCACTCGGCCACCTCGTCTACGTACTTATGCACAGCGTAACGAATTTAGCTAGGCCAGGTGTTAGACCACATGTGAAAATTACTTACCAATGCTGCGAACATGGTTATATGATAATCGAGATAGAAATGGTAATTCAAGACGAGTGTTAACTGCTCAACAATCAAAATCTGGCACCGAGCATGATTGCAATTTTATTATGGTACTTAAAAACTGTAGAAATTAAGTCGACGAGGATGGGATTCGAACCCACGCGTGCAGAGCACAATGGATTAGCAGTCCATCGCCTTAACCACTCGGCCACCTCGTCTATGTACTTATGGACAGCGTAACGAATTTAGCTAGGCCAGGTGTTAGACCACATGTGAAAATTACTTACCAATGCTGCGAACATGGTTATATGATGATCGAGATAGAAATGGTAATTCAAGATGAGTGTTATCGACTCAACATTCAAAATCTAGCAATGATCATGATTGCAATTTTATTATGGTACTTAAAACTGTAGAAATTGAGTCGACGAGGATGGGATTCGAACCCACGCGTGAAGAGCACAATGGATTAGCAGTCCATCGCCTTAACCACTCGGCCACCTCGTCTACGTACTTATGCACTGCGTAACGAATTTAGCTAGACCAGGTGTTAGACCACATGTGAAAATTACTTACTAATGCTGCGAACATGGTTATATGATAATCGAGATAGAAATGGTAATTCAAGACGAGTGTTAACTGCTCAACAATCAAAATCTAGCAATGAGCATGATTGCAATTTTATTATGGTACTTAAAACTGTAGAAATTGAGTCGACGAGGATGGGATACGAACCCACGCGTGCATGGCACAATGGATTAGCAGTCCATCGCCTTAACGACTCGGCCACCTCATCTACGTAATTGTGGACAGCGTAACGAATTTAGCTAGGCCAGGTGTTAGACTACATGTGAAAATTACTTATCAATGCTGCGAACATGGTTATATGATAATCGAGATCGAAGTGGTAATTCAAGATGAGTGTTATCTACTCAACATTCAAAATATGCAAAAGCATGATGGTAATTTCATAATGGAACATAAAAGTGTAGAATCACGTCGACGAGGATGGGATTCGAACCCATGCGTGCAGAACAGAATGGATTAGCAGTCCATCGCATTACCCACTCGGCCACCTCGTCTACGTACTTATGCACAGCGTAACGAATTTAGCTAGGCCAGGTGTTAGACCACATGTGAAAATTACTTACCAATGCTGCGAACATGGTTATATGATAATCGAGATAGAAATGGTAATTCAAGACGAGTGTTAACTGCTCAACAATCAAAATCTGGCACCGAACATGATTGCAATTTTATTATTGTACTTAAAACTGTAGAAATTGAGTCGACGAGGATGGGATTCGAACCCACGCGTGCAGAGCACAATGGATTAGCAGTCCATCGCCTTAACCACTCGGCCACCACGTCTACGTACTTATGCAAGGCGTAACGAATTTAGCTAGACCAGGTGTTATACCACATGTGAAAATTACTTTCTAATGCTGCGAACATGGTTATATGATAATCGAGATGGAAATGGTAATTCAAGACGAGTGTTAACTGCTCAACAATCAAAATCTGGCAACGAGCATGATTGCAATTTTATTATGGTACTTAAAACTGTAGAAATTGAGTCGACGAGGATGGGATTCGAACCCAAGCGTGCAGAGCACAATAGATTTGCAGTCCATCGCCTTAACCACTCGGCCACCACGTCTACGTACTAATGCACGGCGTAACGAATTTAGCTAGACCAGGTGTTATACCACATGTGAAAATTACTTACTAATGCTGCGAACATGGTTATATGATGATGGAGATAGAAATGGTAATTCAAGACGAGTGTTAACTGCTCAACAATCAAAATCTGGCAATGAGCATGATTGCAATTTTATTATGGTACTTAAAACTGTAGAAATTGAGTCGACGAGGATGGGATTCGAACCCACGCGTGCAGAGCACAATGGATTAGCAGTCCATCGCCTTAACAACTCGGCCAACTCATCTACGTAATTGTGGACAGCGTAACGAATTTAGCTAGGCCAGGTGTTAGACCACATGTGAAAATTACTTATCAATGCTGCGAACATGGTTATATGATAATCGAAATCGAAATTGTAATTCAGGACGAGTGTTAACTACTCAACATTCAAGATATGCAAAAGCATGATGGTAATTTCATAATGGAACTTAAAAGTGTAGAATCACGTCGACGAGGATGGGATTCGAACCCATGCGTGCAGAACAAAAATGGATTAGCAGTCCATCGCCTTACGCACTCGGCCACCTCGTCTACGTTACTTATGCACAGCGTAACGAATTTAGCTAGGCCAGGTGTTTAGACCACATGTGAAAATTACTTACCAATGCTGCGAAACATGGTTATATGATAATCGAGATAGAAATGGTAATTCAAGACGAGTGTTAACTGCTCAACAATCAAAATCTGGCACCGAGCATGATTGCAATTTTATTATGGTACTTAAAAACTGTAGAAATTAAGTCGACGAGGATGGGATTCGAACCCACGCGTGCAGAGTACAATGGATTAGCAGTCCATCGCCTTAACCACTCGGCCACCTCGTCTATGTACTTATGGACAGCGTAACGAATTTAGCTAGGCCAGGTGTTAGACCACATGTGAAAATTACTTACTAATGCAGCGAACATGGTTATATGATAATCGAGATAGAAATGGTAATTCAAGACGAGTGTTAACTGCTCAACAATCAAAATCTGGCAATGAGCATGATTGCAATTTTATTATGGTACTTAAAACTGTAGAAATTGAGTCGACGAGGATGGGATTCGAACCCACGCGTGCAGAGCACAATGGATTAGCAGTCCATCGCCTTAACCACTCGGCCACCTCGTCTACGCACTTATGCACGGCGTAACGAATTTAGCTAGACCAAGTGTTAGACCACATGTGAAAATTACTTACTAATGCTGCGAACATGGTTATATGATAATCGAGATACAAATGGTAATTCAAGACGAGTCTTAACTGCTCAACAATCAAAATCTGGCAACGAGCATGATTGCAATTTTATTATGGTACTTAAAACTGTAGAAATTGAGTCGACGAAGATGGGATTCAAACCCACGCGTGCAAAGCACAATGGATTAACAGTCCATC